GGTAGTTGACATGCATGTATATTATGGTAGTTGACATGCATGTATATTATGGTAGTTGACATGCATGTATATTATGGTAGTTGACATGCATGTATGTTATGGTAGTTGACATGCTTACTCTGTTGTTGATATTATTTGTCATACACGTTTTTTTTTACAAGTAAATTTTTGCTCAAAATTCTATTTCGTCATTTGCCTGTTTTATTTATGAGCTAACATTTTACATACATGTACTACAGTACTACAGTCAAACTTGTCTCAAACAGCTACTTTTTGTTGAAGAAAAAGGGATGTCTTCAACATGTTTTTACACAATGTCATTATAATTTTTTTAATGCAAGACGAGGAAATGGGAAGTGGCCGTTTGTACAGGTGATGTCTTATAAACAGGGGGCCGTTAGAGCAGGTTTGACTGTCTTTTTTTAAATACATGGGTCAGTTGATGTTTTACTGAGTGGGTAGTTAGTAGGGATCCACTGACTAATTCTTTTCTTCCCTCTGTTGCGTTGATTGTCTATCTTGCATTTTCCCTTCTCTAAACTACTGGTTTTGTGCTGATGTACAGTGGGTGGTTGGCAGGTACTCTGGTGTAGTTTGCTCCTTCTTTCCTATCAAACATCTATCGGCCTTATCTCCGCTCCTTCTGTTTTGTATTTGTTACTTTCTTGTAACACCTCTAATCTTCGGCACTTATATGACCTTATTGCATTACAAGTGCCGTGACTTACTCAAACAAAAGCTGATGTGCTTCTCTCTACTAAAACTAAATGTAATTATCAATCTGATGAATTTTTACGACTGTTGACAGGATGAGCTTTTATGTGAGAACAAGATAAAAAAAGTGGATGTGACCATCTCAGATCCGAAGCGTTGTGAACTTCTACAAGTGAATATTGTGTAAGTGTGTCTCCGGATTTTCTTGTATTTGTTACACTTTCACGCAATGACTTTCTTGCCTTTGATTAATAATAATCTTTTCAACACTTTCAAGCAATGTCTTTCTTGTTTGTTTTTTCTAATCTTCTCAAAACTTTCACGCTATGTCTTTCACATTTTGGTTTCTCTTTTCAGCACTTTTCAAGCTATGTCTTTCATATTTTTAATAATCTTTTCAACACTTCAAGTCTACATGCAGCTTATCCAGGCGTGGGTTTTCTACACCTACACATGATGATATACGGTAACGACCTTTACATATATAAGAAGTAAAATATCTCAGAAATAAATAAACTATTACCTCAATAGGCACAAACCTTTGTGAAAATCATAAAACAAGGTTGAAAAAAAAACCCTCATGGCAAGAACTGTTACCTCTGAAATGAAATGAATTATTCAAGATTCTTTCTGTATTTCCTGCCCATTTCTTGATCAATATAGTGTCTAATTTTCCTTATATCTGTGTCTTTCGTTTCCCAGAAAGATTCTAAATGTTACCTCTGAAGTTAAGTAAATAAATTATGAATTATGCAAGATTTTTTTTCTATTTCCCTCACATTTCTTGAAACGGTGTCTAATTTTCTTGATATGTGTCTTTTATTTCGCAGAAAGATTTTTAATGGGATGTTGTTAGATGTGTGTCAGATTGCAGGCAGCAGTGTGGATGTTATTTGGGGCTGCTTGTTTTGTAATGTGGAAAACGGAGATGTTGAGCTGAAGGCGGTAAGTAATATTTGGAAAAAAAAGATTATGTATTTAGCTGAATTCGGTCAGTAGAGTTCAGAAAGCAATAAGTACTGGGATAAAATCAGTCTTATTCAGAAAGCAGTGAATATTGAAATGAAATCGCTTGGTACTGTTCAGAAAGCAATACATGGGTGGATGAATATACCAGAACATAAACATGCAAAGATTCAGCATCCAGATAGAAATACACTCTCTGCATACATGCAAAAAGAAACTCATACCATGATGAGCAACTCACTGACAGAAGTGTGCCCAAACAGTGTGTCCGTGGACATGAACCCTCTCTCTCTCTGTCTCTCTCTCTCTTTCTCTCTCTCTCTCTCTCTCTTTCTCTTTCTCTCTCTCTCTCTCTGTCTCCCCCTCTCTCCAGCCCTCCCTCCCTCTCTATCCTTCCCTACCTTCATCCTTCTCTCTGTCTGTCTGTCTGTCTGTCTGTCTGTCTGTCTGTCTGTCTGTCTGTCTCTCTCTCTCTCTCTCTCTCTCT